TTAAGATTCCGCAGAACGTATACAGGCGATATGAAAAATAATAACTTTATGATGTGTCCCCTGTTGTATAGTTTAAAACTACTGAACGATGTCTTCGTGCACCAAATACTGGCGAGATGGCACCGTGTAGAAAAGTCCAAACAGTGTCTGTGAGTTAAAATGGCTGCCATTCACTGTTCTCACCATGTGCTTCATCCATTGTTCTCACCATGTGCCTCTGATACATCCCAGGGGCCATAGTCACATGGCAGGAGGCTGGCAATCAGTCTTCTCCAATGCCCAGTGGTGAGGTCAGTTTCGCCACATTATTATTTTTATTATTATTGCCATTTATATAGCGCCAACAGATTCCATAGCGCTTTACAATATTATGAGAGGGGGGATTTAACTATAAATAGGACAATTACAAGAAAACTTACAGGAACGATAGGTTGAAGAGGACCCTGCTCAAACGAGTTTACAGTCTATAGGAGGTGGGGTATAAAACACGTTAGGACAGGAAATATCAAATAGGGTGGGAGTGAAGCAGAGCTGGAGGAGAGCAAGAGACAGGTATGTAAGGGAGAGGTTACTCTGTGAGGCCATAAGCTTTCCTGAAGAGATGGGTTTTAAGGCTCTTCTTATATGATAGAAGACTAGGGGAGAGTCTGATGGCGGTAGGCAGGCTATTCCATAGGAAAGGAGCCACCTGATAGAGGTCCTGCAAGCGCGAGTTGGCTGTACGGGTGCGAACAGCAGTCAGGAGGTGGTCATGGGCAGAGCGGAGGGAACGAGGAGGGTTATACCTATGGATCATTGAGGAGATATAAGAGGGGCTAGAATTGTTCAGTGCTTTAAATGTATGGGTTAGCACTTTGAATTGACTCCTATAGGATACAGGGAACCAATGTAAGGACTGGCGGGTGATGTGTGAGAGGACCGACTAGAGAGGAAAATCAGTCTAGCTGCAGTATTCATTACAGACTGTAGCGGGGCAATACGGCTTTTGGGGAGACCAATCAGGAGAGGGTTACAGTAATCCATGCGGGAAATTACTAGAGCATGGACAAGCTCTTTGGTCGCATCTTGGGTAAGAAAGGGGTGGATGCGGGCTATGTTTTTGAGTTCGAACCTACAGGATTTGGCAACAAACTGGATGTGAGGCTCAAAGGTGAGGCCAGAGTCAAATATGACGCCAAGACAGCGTGCTTGCAAGGATGGACTTATGTGAATATCACTGACTTGAAGGGAGAGCGAGAGAGGAGGATCAGCATTAGGAGGAGGTAAGACAAGGAGTTCAGTGTTAGAGAGATTGAGTTTCAGAAAGCGTGAGGACATCCAGTCAGAGATGGAAGAAAGGTAAGCACAATATTAAACACAATATTGTACAGCTGAACTGAAAACATAGCAAACATTGATATTTTTTTACAGGTTTCAATTAATTGTATTAAAATTCTCAGTACTTACATATTCTGGTGCATAGGTGCCAAAGCCTATAACTGTAATGTAATGTGTTTCCATCATTCATCAGTAGTCGAACATCAGACTTGGAAGCCATTGATAAAGCTGAGTCACTGTTCTAGAGAGTGAATGTTCAGAAGAATGTACAGCAGTGTATATGTTTGAAAAAAAAAAAAAAAAAAAGGTGTGTCCCTTTCCGAAATAATTTTAGCTTACTATGGTTTGTAGTGTGAGCTCTTCTTTAACTGAAGATTGTGTCTTTCAGGAAGAAGCAATGTAACAGGACAAAAACATAACAGAACAAAACAAAGTTTAAAAAAATGAATACATTTAACATGAGCAAGTAAGAAAGAATGTAACAAAAAAAAAGTAGAAAACAAGTTTAAAAGAACTGTCACATATCCAATTTTTGCACAACCAGATAGCTTTGTAAAAAATAAGCTATGAGGTTGGCTACTAAACATTTACTTTTTTTATCAGAAAAAAATAAATAATTTACTTTGTATGCTTGGCTCTCCTGGTACAGCTAGGTCATGTCATTCAAAATAATTTAAAGTGAGCATACACCAACAGCCTTTATGCATTTCATAGCTGTACACCTAAATGATTTCCTGTATTTTCTACTCAACTTTTTGAAAGATCCTTAACTAAACTGATTGCAGGATTCTGCATATTAACCATGCCTCTGTGTTACACTTCGTGCATTTTAAAAGATTTTCTGTAAGCTGTAGTGTGATGGATCACATGGCACCATGACTGGTTACCTCCGCCAACAGATGCTTCCTAGCCGACGCTGAGGACCGTAAGCACCGCACTGGACACCAAAAGCACCGCAGACTCCACAACCGCCGTAGCTTAGCTGGGATCTCGCCGTCTTCCTCCCACCCTGGACCAACCTCGAATATCCAGGACATGTGGGAAAGACCTCTCCTACTCCAGAAAGCGTAGCAGGAACAGCTCTTATAAGAGCTAGTGATTTAGCCCCAGGGGAGTATAAGGAGTATAGCAATCCCCAGTGTGAATATAACAGTATAGCAGTTCCCCTCCAATCACGAGACCAAGCTATGTGTTGAGGATTAAGCAGGACTCAATTTTAATGGTGCCACACTGGCCTTTTATGACAACCCCCAAGCAAGGTGTACACCCACATGGACAGGGACACAAACTTACAAACCAATGATAACACATTTACAATGTATGACACTCCCACATACAATACAATAATCCTTCTCCTTTATTTAGGAGATAATTGAGTCAAACACTATACTAAACTCAATTATCTCCAAACACAAAAAAAACACTTTTTCAAAAAGTCCCAAAAGTACACCAAAACATATAATATCCCCCACAAATGTTACATCCACTGATAGCCCTGATCTGGGTGACCAACATATCCAAATTCACCCAGATCAGATAAAAGGTTCAGAAATTTTATGGAAGTAATATTTTTTACCGACAGCAGGCAATGTCCCATAGTTGAAAATAGCTCCATAGAATCGCGGCTAAGTGCCGCTGGAGAACCGTTCGGGAACCACAAGGTTTTCATGCCGAAAATAGTTCCAGGGCATTCGTGGCTTAGTCCCCCTGAAGTCTATTCACGGTTTTGGTCCATGCGAACAAGATGGCCGCCACCACGTGGTCAAATGGCACTTCAAATGGCTTCGGGAGTTCGGGAGTTCAAAGTGCTGCTTGAAAAGTTCGAATAATTATTGTCCAAAGTCATATTAAGTACAAATTTTTTTTTTTCTTTTAACAATAGTAAATTAAAGGGGCCATGGTCACAGGGTAAAAGGCTGGCAAGTAGTCCTCTCCAAACCCCAGTGGCTCAGTGGCTTTCACCACATGTAGTTCAGATGAACATTTTCAAAAATAAAATGGCAGAAAGGCATAGGCTAGTATTGGATAGGAAAATCTAATAGATATACATGTTACAAACAATGGCCTTCATTTAATAATTTTGGATAAGCTTTTCAAACTTTTTAATATTTTTGGATACACGTTTAAAAGATTTTTTCAAAATATGAAAACATAAAAAAATATAATGGAAAAAAATTAGTATATTAAAAAATGTCAGAATGTTTTTAAATTCATCTTTAAAAAACATGTTTCCAAAAATATTACATTAAGGCCTATGTGTCCATGTAATAATTTTGGAAAAAATGTAAATGATGATTTGACATCATGTTTTTTTTAAACGTTTTCTGTAAAGATATCATAAATTCATATTTGTATTCTTCTTTTATTTTTATATTTTTCATCATATTTACTATTTTATTGTATTTTTAAATTAATTTTATCTTTTTAGCTCTTTCCTGATCATTTATGGAATTATCCTCCAGACACAATTTTAAAGGACTGCTTCCCTGCTACTAATTGGGAACAGCAGGTATCATTTGATTAGGGCATGTGTTAATGGCTCCACGCTGTATGCGTTGCCAGGGCATGATTAAGAGCTCATTGGGCCTGGTGCAGACAATTCTGATGGGCCTATTTACAGAAACTTATCGACAGAAAACACTAAAACAGTTATACCTCCCACGCGTCATGTATCTGGTGCAGGTGGTGCTGAAAGGAAACTCACAGGATATAGCACATAACCTATGCTAATCTCTTGCTTTCATCTTTTAAGTAAATCCATTTCAAAAGGCAGAGTAATAGGGTGGGCCACTGATGTAAATCACGCAACCAGAACCGACCAAAGGGACATACATGCCCAAAAAGGGGGGATGTCTGCACAAAGAATTAGATGGTCAGCCCAGCGTGAATGCACATCGGGCTGGCTGCCAATCTTGCAGAATGATATACCAAGGACTTTCGCACAAGACCACAACCTTGGGGTGACAGGCAAGAGAGAGGCGCTATAGCTAGTGGGAACTTTAAAGATCTTAACCGGCCAGTCCATTCTCATGCAGCAGAGTGGCCCATGGATTTGGCTGTCCCATGAACACTCACATGGGTTACTCACAACAGCACTAATTACTCCCCCCCACACACAATAGCCCAAATCCACCCACAGTACAGCTGCCATTTTCGCCTCCCATACACAAACATAATGCAGACCCAATTTCCTCCCACTAAAGACACACTACAACCCAAATTCTCCCCACTATAGCCTCTTTTCCACCAAAAAACACACAACAATTCTATCCCCCCAATCACACCCTGCAACTCATATCCCCCACAAAAACACACTAAGGCCCCTATCCCCTCCAAACACACCCCTCAACCCTTATCCCGTAAATACTCACTACAGACCTTATCCCCCCTAAACACACACTCTACAGCTCCTATACACATGCACACACACATACTATACTGCAAACAGCCACATTCACACACACAACTATAAGCACCATCCTCCCCACAACCCGCAATTAAACAAGCAGTGTCTCCTCATACATATACAACTCCACAAGCAGAATACCCAGAAACAATCAGCACGACAAGCAGCCTCTATTCACACACATGCAACGCTCAAGCGGCTATATATGCAACCTAACAAGCAGTATCCCCGCAAAGATAAAACATCACAAGCAACCTCCCCCACACAGGCAATACCACAAGCAGCATCCCCCATAACTAAGGGCTTGTTATGCAGACAGCTGTGTCTCAGAACCATGAGCTTGGCATGAATGCCTCTAATGATAAACTCACTCTATGCTTTCTGGGATTAACTCTCTGGTGTTCCCAGCACTCACTTGTCCTCTCCTCTCCTTCCCTTCTTGGTAGCAGGCAGAAGCTCCTGGTATGCAGTCTGGGGCAGAGAAAATGGTGGATGTATTGAGTGTCGAAGAAAGGGAATATCCCACTCTGTTAGAGAAACCAAATTAGCAAGAGCATTTGCACAGTGTGCAAAGTCAGCTTTATCTTAACTAATTTATAAAAAGACACTCAGCTTTGTTCCCATACATCCATTCTAAGTTTCCATACTCAATTCCCTCTGCACAAAGCAAGAGCATATCTTTTTTTTTTTTTATCTCAATGGGCCTTTTCTATAGCCCCTCTGTTAATCCGGCTCTGCCTGCGCTCGTGCATCGCTACAAAGTTCAGATACTCAGTTCACTCTGCACAACGTTTTAGAGCAAGAGCATACGGATGAAGAGTAGTAAAGCAGAAAAAAAAATATTAATTTATTTATTTAGGATCAATTGGTCTATTACATGGGCGTGGGCCTGGATTACAGCTCCATTAGCTCCTATGTTAATCTGACCCTGCTGAAATGAATAGCATTTCCTCCATTTAAGTTTTTGGGAAAATTACTATTCAGTAAGCCGAGTCAACACTAAGTCTGCAAAGATTATCCAGCCTTTTGTCAGCTTAAAGGACCACTATAGTGCCAGAAACACATACTCGTTTTCCTGGCACTATAGTGCCCTGAGGGTGCCCCCACCCTCAGGGTCCTCCTCCCGCCGGGCTCTGGGGAGAGGAAGGGGTTAAACACTTACCTTTCTCCAGCGCTGGTCGGGGAGCTTTCCTCCTCTCCTTCCTATCGACGTCATCGGCTGAATGGGCATGCGCGGCAGGAGCCGCGCGCACATTCAGCCAGTCTCATAGGAAAGCATTCATAATGCTTTCCTATGGACGCTGGCGTCTTCTCACTGTGATTTTCACTGTGAGAAGTACGCAAGCGCCTCTAGCAGCTGTCAATGAGACAGCCACTAGAGGCTTTAGAGGCTGGATTAACCCTCAGTGTAAACATAGCAGTTTCTCTGAAACTGCTATGTTTATAAAAAAAAAGGGTTAATGCTATCTGGACCTGGCACCCAGACCACTTCATTAAGCTGAAGTGGTCTGGGTGCCTATAGTGGTCCTTTAATATTTTCTTGATATGTTTCTTGATATCTTTTCATATAATTGGTTGTAAGGTGTTTTCAGGTCACTCTTTTGTATCATTTCCTGCTGTCTTTATCTTATATGCTATTTTTGTTGTATTGTAATTTTAAATGAATTGTACTTAACTATAAATTTTTATTGTTATGTAAATTTAGAAACAATTTTGTCCCATAAAATAAAAAAGATATACACAGAGTGAAGACATTTATTAAAACAATTTTTGAATTAAAAAAAAAATATATATCCAAATTGAATAGAATAGCATTTTTGTCCTTTCCAGCACCAACGATTATGACTTATTTCAAGATCATTTCAATATCATATATTACAATATGTGTTGTAATTTAGTATTCGTCAAAGAAGGGATACTGGGGATGCGATCCAAACCTTCAGAAACAGAAAGAGGAAAAAAAAAGCATTAATCAATCTTACAACTGTTATTGCTACTTCCTGGTTTGGTTAGCTCAGTGGAGCTATATACTAGATGCAGGCCATTGCCTAGATCACCTGCCTTGCAAAGACTTATCATTGAGCTGCATTGGGAAGTTTGTGATTGGACAGCCACAGAAAGACTGAACTGGATAAGAAGACCTCGGACCAGAGATCTGCTGCTTTTTACAAGCTGTTTTTAGATATTCCCCCAATTAAAACAAAAATGCATGTATGTTTTTTAATGAGGGCATATCTATTACACAGAGATTTAAAAAAAATGTTTATATTTGGATGGAGGAGTGTCCCTTTAAAGTATTTAATAATGAATTAATAATTCAAATGTTATTACAAAAATGACTGGATGCACACCCTAATAAAATGTAATGTGCACATATCTTTTTTAATTAAAAAATAAATACAATTATAGTCAGGGTTCTTTTTCTTGCATGATTTTCTCTCCCCATCTCTTCTCCCATCATATCATTATGTATGGATAATGGCAGTATCTAGGAAAAGTAGCTGCTGCATTGGAATTTAATGTAATGTATGTCCTGCTGCTGTCTTAAGATCAAAAGAACCCAAGTTCTAACCCTACAAATCATGTACTATAAAAGATACAGTATGTATTAAGTGAAAATATTGCAATTAATTGGCATCTTATTTATTATGAACCCTATTATCTTATTTATTATCTTATTTTATTTATAAGGAACCCTTAAACCATTTTTATTTCTATATCACATGGTTATCTAAACGATTTAAATAATTTTTGGGATGCTGATATAGAACATAAAAAAATAATACAGATACTCCCACCTTAGAACATATTGGCCATTTTACAGTAGCACCTATTTGGGCACCTATCATTACAGTACAGCTTGCTTTTCAGAGACCTGTCTAATTGCCTGTCTGATTTCTCTGTTTTTCTTCTACAGACATAAAAACATATGCTTTTTAATCATTTGTATTTTTCCACCAAAGTACTAAGTAAACATACACTGGCAGTTCCAAGTATCGCAAATTTCGATTGAGTCCATCAATTGCTTTCATATCTTCTGTGGATAGCTCGAAATCAAAGACCTGTGGAAAGAAGATATGTTAGCATCTGAGAGGCTGTTTCAAATCAAGCTTCAGCTTACAGGACATTGTCACCGAGCCCCTTGTGTATAAATATGGACTGGTGGTTTAGCTCCCTAAAATTTTATATTTCAGAATGCAAATATACACAGATGCCCTTGAATAGCAAGACTATAACTAATCCTGGGCCTTCCATTATTGTGAACTTAATAGCTAAACGTAATAAAACAGCCAAGAGCAATATATTACTAAAGCACTTTATCAGAAATACACATAGTAACATTGCAATGCTCCAGTTTTGATTTCTTTAACTTAATCCAAATAAATAAAATTTGAAACAGAAATAGGGCTCCAAACTGTCATTCCCGTTTTTCCGAGACCTTCCTTTCTACTTAATATTGGAAAGCGAACAGGACAGACATTTTACTATCTAACTGTGTAGCTTCATTCATGTTTTTTTTTATAAATTAAATGACTTGCAATAATGCATGCTGGCAGTTGTGGCCCAGGCATTTTTTTTTTGGAAAGTTACTAAGGAATAGTGATGTCGCGAACCCGAAATTTTCGGTTCGCGAATGGCGAACGCAAACTTCCGCAAGTGTTCGCGGACCGGCGAACCGCCCGAAACGCCATTGACTTCAATGGGGAGGCGAATTTTAAAACACACAGGGACTCTTTCTGGCCACAATAGGGATGGAAAAGTTGTTTCCAGGGGACTAACACCTGGACTGTGGCATGCCGGAGGGGGATCCATGGCAAAACTCCCATGGAAAATTACACAGTTGATACAGAGTCTGGTTTTA